AAAGAGGAAGACCCCCAATGAGATGGATTGGCCAAGTGGCAGCATCGATGGACTCAAGTGTGGCAACAGTAGTGAGGTTGGCAACAGTAGTGAGGATCTGGCAGTGTTTTGTTCTGCTGTGCACAGGGTCGCTATGAGTCGGTACCGACTCGATGGCACCTAACAACAACCACCACAGTAAAGCTGCTGCCTCATAGGGAAGAAATCCTCCCCAAAACTGCCAGACTTACTTCTGTTTGTAGAGGACGAAACACAGAATACCAGGGAGACAGAGACCTGCTCCAAAATGTTTAACTATGTGAATTGCAGTCTGAGAATCCACTGCACTCCATCTTACCTGGCCAAGTCACTTGGCTTGTGGACAGTTACTGACAGAGGCTGGGCAGACTGCTTGAAATCAGACCACTGTGTGGATGAATTCACCTGGGTCCACACCTGCAGTTCTTGGGGCATTCAAACTTCAGTGGTCCTATGGATCCTCATGGTACAGCCCTGAGCCATCTTTATCAGCTACTCTCAAGGGCAGGGTCTTCAGTGCAGAACTCATCAGTCATCTTTCAGCAGGTAACTGAGAAGACTGCCTTGTAAGCATGTTAGGAAAAGTGGCATCCACATGCCAGAAGGCTAGGTGTCTTCTGGGAGATTGTTAGAAATGCAGAATACAGGCCCTGCCCCAGAATTTCTGAATTCCAATATTAAGAATTCTCCAAGTAAACTCTAGGGGAATTAATGTTTCAGATTTCTTGATGTGGGTAACAAAGGAAAGGGAGAAGCAGCCATGCCTCTTCCCTGGAAGCTCACATTCTGGGTGGGAAGGTAGGTTTTATATATGTGAAACAATGAAACAGAATGTAAGTCTACATAACAGGCATGAGGTTTTGGTAGGAAAATTTGACACCACAGACCAGAGTCCAAGGCATTTATTTCCTAAGACACTTATTTCCACTGAGCCTCAGTTTCCTCATCTATAAAGTGGGGATAATGATGCTTACTCTCCCTTACAAGATTATCCTAAAGATCAAAGATGATGGGAAAGCACTTCACCAACATAAGGTATTATTTCATGCTACATACTCTGAATGTTAGTCACAGGGTAGTACAAATGGTTAATGCACTCAACTGCTACACAAGAGGCTGGTGGTTCTCGTTCAAATCCACACAGAGCCAACTCAAAAGGCCTGTTGATCTACTTCTTGAAAATCAACTATTGAAAACACTAGATCATAGCTCTACTCTTATACACATGGAGCCACCCTTAGTGAGAGTCAACTTGACAGCAATTAGGTTGGTTTTACTCTGAGTGCTACAAAAGTTCAGAAACTAGAGGATCATATAACTGGAATAGTATGGGACGATCCAACAAGGAGGCAGCCTTTTAAGAATATCGAGCCACAGACTGGACCAGGTATACAGCAGAAAAAGCAAGATGGAAGAGATACCCATTTCAGCCATTGCTCCTCCTACAGCCTGCATCCTAGACCACAGAGAACAACTATTGATCTACTGTCACCAACTGAGTCCTGCCAGTCTGTCATTGATGAATGCCATGAATCTCAGAAATACACACTCAGTTCTCACCTAGTGCTTTGCAAAAGATACAAAGCAAGCATAAGTGGTGGTCTGTTGAAAGAGGTGGCAAGAAGACGTATTGTACCTTAATTCTTGTTTGGGATGTTGTTGTTGTCAGGTGCCATCGAGTCGGAACTGACTCACAGCAGAATGAAACAATGTCTGATCCTGGGCCAACCTCACTACCGCTGCCACACTTGAGTCCATCAATGCTGCCACTTGGCCAATCCATCTCATTAGGGGTCCTCTCAGTTTGGGATAGAGGGAACAGATTTGTGTGTCATTTTGCAGAGCTAATTTGTGAAGAGAGACTGATCATACCACAAGATGGGCCATTAGGGAGGTAAAGGAAATTAGCAGTTGAATTCTTGGTAATAATCTTTCTAGCTAGAACATTTGCTACATGTTCCTGGGTGGTGTATATAGTTTACACACTTGACTGCTCACCAAAAGGCTGGAGATTTGAGTTCATCCAGAGGATCCTAGAAAAAAAGGTCTTGGTGATCTACTTCTTACAAACCAGCCATTGAAAATCCTGCTCTGTCTGTCATGTGGGCTCACCATAAGTCAGAACCCATTCAAAAGCATCTGAGAAAAAGATGCCTTCATATATATATTTTTTTTCATTTAATTTTTACTCCAATCCTATCAGGCAGCATTGTTTCATCACCACTCCACAGAAGAGAAACCTGGAGATTTAGGATTGGAACCCAGGTTGCTCTGCTTTCCAAAGCCCATGACCTTCAATGCAAGTTAAACTGCTGAGGCCTTCTGAACATCTCTGGTCTTGATCGTGAAGCTGTGCTTTTGTTGTGAAACGCAGTGCTCTCTGACTCGTTGACGTTTGCCATGCTTGTCCTGAGCTTCTCCAGAGAAATGTCGTCTTCTGGCAGGAAAAGATAAAAAACGGCTGATAGAAATGAGTCACCAGACTTGCTATAATTAACAGTGATGCAAGAGCCAGATGCAAAGTAAGAGGGGGCCTCAGGACGCTGGCTGGCTTTGTACTGCCCTAATTTTGAGCTGCATTCAGTGTGAAAAATAGTTTCAGTGGTTGAGCTTCCTTGGTTGAAAATACATTTTAAATGAAGAAATGAATCCAAACTGGATGCAGGCTCCAAGGCATCAGGCCTGAGAGGGATTGCCCCAAATCCCAAATTAATCTCATTATTTACAATTGCTAAGCCATATACCAGAACCAGAGAGAGAGTTTAAAGTTTATAGATAATGCACTTTTACTTTCACACTCGGCTGCCCTAAAGGGGCTGAGCTGATTTATAGCAACTACAGTTGTAAATTCAGTTGTACTAGGTGTTCAATTTATGCCCTCCTGATCCCAATGATGTAGTGGTGAACTTTTCAAAAGATCAATCAATTCTCATGGGCATCTTCCTATTCTGTTTTGTTTCTCTGGAATAAGAAGTGATGTCTTGTCATGGTAACCTGATTAAAATAAAACTCTTAAACACAATTCCCACCACCCCATCCAACCACAGCAAGAACACAATCAATCACTTCATATCCAACTTGAAGGCAGTACTCTCTGCTCCATTCTGGATGCAGAATTCCCTAGTGGTGTTTATTGTTGTTAAGTGCTGTTGAGTTGGTTCCTACCCATAGCGACCCTTTATGAATGTGTAATTCCGCACCGTGATTCGACAGAGAGAAATAAATTGTGGTTAGGACATGCATTGGTTTTCTAGTGACCATCGATGGTGGCACCTTCTTACCTGTTTGTTTAAAAGAGGCTCAACTGGCCCAGGCATTGGAAATCTAACTCTTGTCATGACACAATACAGCTGATAGAACTTGTCACTTTCCTTTTGAACGAACTTTAATTGAGAGCAAAGTGAAAAATGCAGGTTACATTTTTAGTGTTATCATCAATATGCTGTAAAGATCAACACCCAAACAGTGATGCATCTAAAGTTTATACATTTTCTAACTTTAGTTACCGAAGAGCAAATCATTATCAGATATATATATTTACATAATCATTTCAAGCAATAGTAAATAATACAGTCCTTAAAAACAAAACAAAACACAAACCACACACACACACACACCCAACCACCTTTAAACAATGGATTTCCTCACACTAGTAAATCTCATTTTTTTCCCCATATATACTTGTAGTCCCAATGTTTACTTAAGTTACTTTAAGAATAGTGTCAGCAGTGGTTTCCTGGGCCAACTCTTATTTTCTTTAGAGTCATTTAAATTTTTACAACTTAAAGCCAGGATACCCCAAATGATGCAAATGAATTCCACTTCCTTGTGTCAGGAGATATTCACATCATTGAAGATGCAAATGAATACACCCCCACCCCCACCCCCCTAAAAACAGACAAAAATAAAACACAAAACAAAATCTTAGATCTTCAAGCACAGTTTTTTAGGAGGATTGTGCTGTTAAAATGGAATTATCTGAATGGTCAGATTTTTTTTCAGATTTCTATACAGAAGTACTGGATAATTCTAATTCTTTTTTCAGCTGCTTGAAACATATGGGCTTTAAAAGTTGCCTGTTAGAACTACATCCTGCCTTCCAGGTTAGCAGTCTGCCTGACCTCTGGAATGTCAGACGAGACTCGCAGCAATGCCTTGCGCTCTGATTTATTTCTTACTGTTGCTGTTAGTAAATGGAAACCATGACAAAGTTTACATTAGCAGACACATACCCATGCCCTGGCCTATAAATATTCTGTGATGGAGAATGGTACAATGACTCCATTCCTACTAAAAATGCATGTTAAAGGAAGAGCAAGGAACATTATCAACGATGGTTCTTCTTACAGTGAAAACCCAGACCTAAGCATGATGGGCTTTTAACTAACTGGACATCATTAGCCACTTCACCAGGGCTTTATGGAGTCAACTAAAAGTCAGCAAAGCAGAGACCAACTGCCTCTGGGCAAACCTGGTAGGATCCAGTAGTACCGGGATCTGGAAATTGGATGAAGAAGGTCAACTGCAGTTCTTTCTTAAGAGAGGTGAGTGAGGAGAGACTTTAAAGTCAGATTTGAAAGCAGTTCACACAGTCTGCCTGGGACACAGATCTGTCTCTGTGTTAGAGCCCTTAGAGCGCCAGCTGGAGTTTGGTCATGTTTCTCTGATGCATGTTGTGATGACGAACTAATTCATCTGACCGGGCAAACTTTTTCTGACAACTGGGCCACCGACAGCTGAAGGGCTTTTCACCTGTTGATACAATCACCAGTCAGAAACACTTGCAACAGAAAGTCAGGGCACAAATCCAATCATCAAAGGCCTGAGTTAAACCACCACAGGGCACCCACTACTCCAGATTCCTAACACTATTGAACTGGGCTCACAACACAGGCAGCCTTGCAATGGCAGTACCTCTGGGACTCCTTTAAGCATTGAAATATTGTGAAAATGGGAAGGTTTTACTAAGTCAGAAGTCTTAGCAAATGGGAGAGAAGGAAGGCGTCTAATTAGTGGAAATACCTACTACATATTCATAGTTACCTAAGGAGAGAAAAAAATTGGCCTCAACCTCTGCTGTGTAAAATTTCCCCCTTCACTGCCTCAGTAAATAGGGAATTGAGTTTAACTGGGCTGCAAGGGTCTCAGGATCACCACCTCAAATATCACTGACTGATCACTGTCTAGTACTTTAAATGTGGCTTGGGCTTTAATGCAAATATAGATGATACTCTGGTTGGGATGGGTTTTAAAGACTGATTCCAATTGAACTTGTTATTTGTTTTCTGTTACCTTCAAGTATTGTTAAAGTGCCATTGAGTCGCTTCCGACTCATAGTGACCCTGTACCGTTTCCAAGGAGTGGCTGCTGAGTTTGAACTGCCAACCTTGCAGTTAGCAGTCCAGTGCTTATCCTACAGCACCAACAGGGCTCTTAGTGTATAATCTTTGTCAGATCGAAGATTCTAGCTGAGGCCAGGGTTTGAGATTTTTAACAAATTTGTCAAAAGATTAAAAGGAGTTTCTATCTATGGGGCCCTCAGAAGTCCCCGCCAAGCCTCATTCTCTATAGGGAATATAGAGTTGTTGTTAAGTGCCATCGAGTCGGTTTTGACTCATAGCAACCTTGAATAGGGTTTCTGAGGAGCAGCTGGTGAGCTTGAACTACTGACCGTGCAGTTTAAACTGACTTTGCAGTCCAGCGCCTTAACCCACAGCACCACACCAGGACTCCAGGGAAAGCTGTTAGTATTTATTAAGTGCCTAATGTATGCCAAGCCTTGTTCTCGTTATCATGTACACATTATCTCACGTTATCCTTACAAGAGCCCTGTGAGAGAAGCATTATTGTCACCACTCAATAGGTGAGGCTGGACATCTGGGGAAAGGCAGACCCACGCAGGACTCAAATTCAGATTTATCTAATTTTACAGTCCAAGCTTTTCCTGCATCATACCTCACAGGTCTAACCATAATGGGGATACAGCTATAGATTTATCTTAAATTAAAATGCCATAGGAACCAACCCCAGTGCCACCTGGAGGGTCTTCTCAGGGTATTGTGTGTGGTCCCAGACCTTCTCTGAGAACTACTGGTCAGGATAAGCCCTGAAGAATGTTCCAGGAACATGCTGGGTCAGAACTGGAGGCAATTAAATATAATATCAGTCTCCTGGTGGCATAGGTCACTCTGCTCCTATGCAGATACATAGGGGACACAGGGATGATAACTTTTTCTTACAAACTTGTGATCTCAGAACTAAATTTAAAAAGTGACATATGCAACACCAAAGGCACCTAGATAGGGGAACAAGACACAAGCTCTGTCATGGGCTCAGACTATTGAGGTTGTCCTCAACCTGGGAGTGGGCAGGTACTTATAATATCATTATTTGTCATTGCCTCCCACTCACAGTTCCTGTACTCCCCACCCAACCTCCAGCTGAGCTGGCTGGCAAAAGTCTTCTCTATTTTAATGGGCAAACCCCAACCCTTTAGTTTCTTGATCTTCATCCTTCTCGGTCTCTCAATGGCATTTGGCTTGGTTGACTTTGGCTCTCTTCTTCAGCCTCTCTCCTTCCTGGACTTCTGGATGAACCACGTTCTTTCTCCAGCAAAGAAGGCAGTGGGAGATGGTGGGCTGGGAGCAGACAGAACTGGGTTTGCTACTTACTAGCTTTTTGACTTTTATTAAATCACTACATGCCTCAGTCTCCTCATCTGTAAAACAGGGATAAAACATGCCTACCCAACTCTTCTTACAAGGATGTTGTAAAAATAAAATGAGATATCCTAAGCAACGGTCCTTTTTAGAAATCCATAAAGTATGCAACAAAGCGGTGCTATTTTCATTATGAATCACACCAGCCTTCAGAGAAGCTGAAACACTCAGCAGCTAGGGAGTGACTATTCTAGTCTGTTGTTATTGTTAGGTGCAGTTGAGTCGATTTCGACTCATAGCCACCCTGTATGAGGTTTCCAAGGAATGACTGGTGGGTTTGAACTACTGACCTTGTGGTCTAGTGCAGTATGAAGGAAATAATATCAAGATACTAATATTTGTTTGGCAGAACCCATGGCTGATCCTTGGGCATTAACTTTCAGCAGAGCAAGGATTCAGCTCTCTGAAAACAGTGTCAAGAAAAGTTGAGTTACCAGGAGAACAAATTTTGGCTTGCTAGAATTTCTGGATTTGTTTGTTTTTGGAAGCCTAATGACTATCAAACTGAGTGATAAAAAATGTCATTCAACTAATTGAGGACAGTAGGTGGTAGGTAGCTGCCTACCTACACTCACAAAGAGTTTCATTTACATATCTTTCCTGCTGTGTTCTCCCCCAACCCCTTCTTTAAAAAAAAAAAGTTAGCATTTATCATTTAAAAGTAGCATCTACTACTATTTCCCTCAACTGAGTCTAAACCTGTCTAGAACTTTTATATTAGTCTTTTTTTCCCAATCGCTCACAGACAACTTCATACAACATTAGTTAAAAAAAAATAATGAAAAATAAATGTGAAGAAAAGTTTACGCACTTGTTTTACCTGTATGAGTCCTGGTGTGGGTCTTCAGATGGTCGGAGCGGGAGAACTTTCGCTGACAAGTTTTACATTGGAATGGTTTCACACCTAAATGGACAGACAAGATCTAGCCACAGCCCTAACAATGCAGAGGTACAGTGAAGTCCACGAGGCCTGATTCCCTCTAGTCTGAGGACCCAAGAATTTTTGGCAATGTTTGGCGCATCTGCGACACCCTTCCATTTCCCCCAAACTCCAGGCCCAGCACAGAAATCTTTGAGGACGTGTTTCTAACTTGGAACCACCATTCTTTAACCTCAAAAGTCCAGCTTCTCACCAGCTGGGATGTCTCAGCTGTATCAGAGGCAGAAAAAGTGAATCACATGCTCTGAACTGGATTCTGCTCTCCACCACCTTTGTTCTTTACTGATGCCTATTGTATCTTTCAGAACATTGCAAATGGAAATTCATTGTCCTGTGGTTTGAGGAAAAATGTGGGGTTTTTCTTTCCTTCCTTTCTTTTTTTAACAGAAGAAAAATCCCCAGAAATAAAAAATTATATATTGGAAAAATTGAACAAATGGCTGACCCACTCGTCTGTATTTTTAAATAAGAACAATACAATCAACCCTACCCCAAGGGACCAGAACTGTCAGCAATGAGAAGCAAACCGACAAACCTGTGTGTCTTCTTTGGTGTCTTTTGAGCTGGTCTGAACGAGAAAACCTTCGCTCACAGTCTTTGAAGTCACACTGGTATGGTTTCTCACCTTAGGGAAGACACATACTCTATTTGAAAATGTTACTGGAAATGAGGTCCTCGTCGTAGTTGTTGTTAAGTGCCGTTGAGTCAGTTCCGACTCGTAGCGACCCTGTGTAGGGTTTCTGAGGAGCAATATATACATTCCTGGGTGGCGTAAATGATTAACACACTTGCTTAATCATGGTGGAAATTCTATGGGGTATAGTTATACGCTGACACACATGGGGATAGTCAGAATTGAGTCAACAGCAACTGGTTTGGGAGGCATATTTTTTAGTACATCTGCTCATGGATAATGGGTACAGAACAGGGGGCGGGTGCTAGGTGAACAAGGATGGTCCCTAGTCTCACAGTTAAAAGTCAGCAGGATCTCTTAGATGAGTTAAGCGTCTGACACTCGAGTTAACAACTCCAGCTCTGCCACTGAACTGCTGGATGAGATGTAGTTACCTTGTTGAGAAATGAGATCAATAATCACTTCAAAGGATTTATGAGTAGATTAAATAAACCATAGATTCCATGTAAAAGGCTTACCCCAATGCCTAGCAGGGAAGGGGTACTCAGAAAACATTGTTGCTGTGGCTAAGTGCCATGGAGTTCGTTCTGACTCATAGCAACCCTGTATAGAGTTTCTGAAGAGTGGCGGGTGGGTTTGAACCACTGACTTTACGGTTTGTAGTCCAGTGCTTATCCTAACAGCACAATGACAAATAGTAAACCACACAAGTCTTAATTTGTAGGTAGAGTCTGGGGTATCTATTCTGAAACTGATGTGGCTTGGAGCCAATCCCTGGGGTTTGTGTCACCCAGTGTAGTAGCTCCTGGTGTCATGGTCCTCATGGATCTCCTCCCTAACCAGGCCAGATAGAATCCTTGTTGTTGTTGTCAAGTGCCATCAAGTCGATTTTGACCCATAGAGACCCTGTTCCTTAGTAAGGTGTATTATCCATTTTATTTTTAGAATAATGTGGGTTAAGCATCATTGTGAATTACTTAAATACAGTATCTCTTACATTGCATGAATCCTAACAAAATTGTTTTATGAACTCTGTCTACATTGAATTCTTAGTTACAACATTATTAGTAACCAAGAGGAAGTCTTTTTTGATTTTTATCCATATTTTCTTTAATAACTACTTCATTGTCCAAAAGACTAATGACATAGATTGACAAATAATAACTACTACAATACTGCAGCTAAAATCCCAGAAGTTTTGGCAAAATAAGATGTACAAATACCAGCAGCAATCAACAGCATGTGCTTGTAGCAAGTGCAGACAAAACACATGATTCAATGCTTTATGGTAATTGGGTGATACTAACAGTTCTGACTAGAAGAATGCATTGCAAAGTCAGAAAATAAATTAGCCTAGTGTTTTAGTTATGTAAATATATTGATACATCTAAGATGGGCTGACAAAAAATATTTTTGTTGTTCTAACTAACAACAGGGATATTTTCATGAAAATAAATATCTGCTGTAACACTGCATAAAACTTTTATAGACAGTCATTTTGATGTCACCCCGTATGACAGTGTCACTTGATGCGGTCCACCACTACCTTATCAGAGAGAATATATTGGGGTGATTTCACAACCTCCTGTCTGAGTGGAGAAACCCCACCCTGCCCTCTTTAAAGAAAGTTCAGCCAAATACTGGGAATGGAGCCCAAGCGCACCAAGTAACCCCAGGACCTTCCCATCTTCTTATGAAAATTCTGAGTCACCAGAATTACGGGATGGGGAGACAGCCATCCCAGGATCAGTCAGGTCTTGGGGTTGCAGGGTAGCCCCTGCCCCTAGTTAACTTTGCAGCCTTATAACCTCCTCTATTTTTCTGATCAATCTGTATTCTTGCTGCTCTTCACTCTCACCAGTCCCTAAGAGTTCTCACTACTGACTCCACCCTAAATTCCCTTCATCATGATCACCACATTTCTACCCATCAAGAGGCCTTCTACCCTTCACAAACGCCACTTCCTTTGCAATGCCTTCTTGGAAACTTCATGTTCAGATATAAACCTCTTTATTTATTACAGTATTTATTATAGGACCTCTCCTAATATGATAAGCGGTATCAAGGTCTTTTTCAGCTGGAAACTCTTAAAGGCAGGGCTTTTTCTTAACTATAGATCCAGCCCAGTTCTCTCAAGCTTCATCTCTACAATCTGGAGAAGACAACTACTCCAATTCGGTTCTTTTCTTTCTTTCCATTTCTGCTCATCCTTTACTTCCTTTGCTTGATCTTGCCATTCCTTCAATGGTTAACCCAAACCCCTGCTCCTCTGAGAAATATTTTCAGATGACTAGCTCAAATCAATACCCTCCAAACTCCTCTTCTCAGCATTTCCAGCTTCTTATTTAGATTTTTATTAATGAATGGGTCCTGGTGTCATGCTATAGGAGAAGCACTGGACTGCTAACCACAAGGTCAGTGGTTCAAACACACCAGCCACTTCTTGGAAACCCTATACAGAGTCGCTATGAGTTGGAACCAACTTGTTGAGTGGGCTCTGGTGTGGTGCTGTAGGATAAACACTGAACTACTAACCTAACAGTAGACCGCCAACGAGATGGACTCAAGTGTGGCAACAGTAGTGAGGTTGGCCCAGGAAGGGGCAGTGTTTCGTTCTGCTGTGCATAAGGTCGCTATGGGTCGGTACCGACTCGATGGCACCTAACAACAACAACAACAACACTAACAGCAAGAACAGAAGTTCAGCTGCTCCTCAGAAACCCTTTAAAGGGTTGCTATGAGTCAGAAATGACTCGATGGCACCACCACCAAGAATATGTTAATGTTACTTTAGTCTCTTTTCGGAGTCCCGGTGTGGTGCTGTGGGTTAATGTGCAGAACTGCAGTTGATTTAAACCACAAGGTCGGCAGTTCAAGCTCACCAGTCGCTCCTCAGCAATCTTACACAGGGTTACTATGGGTCAGAACTGACTCGGCTGCATTTAACAACAACAAAGTCTCTTTTCATTTGTGCATATCCTAGATCCAACCAGACCATAAACTCTTAGAAAAAGGGGACTGTGACAAGGAGTTAAAAGGTATAACTTTGAGTCCTGGTTCTATAATGCTCTACCCATTTGACCATTATTATTTGTCAGATAAAATAATGTATGCAGATAGCATGAAAGGTAGAAAGTTATATAAAGTACTGAGTATAATAGTTTATATTGTTTTTAATAAAACATTGTATTGTTTCAAGAGGGTTGCAGAATTTCAAATACCAGCCTGTCCTCATCTCCTGCAAGAAAGAGCTTCTTAAAGGCGCCAAAGGATCTGGGGGCCTTGGCTACATGGCCAGTGACCCTCTTCACCCAGACTTCTAAATCACTGCTTTCTATGTGCCTCCTTCCTATCAGAAATCTTGACAACCATATTTCCTCAAGGAATTCACTTTTTTTTTTTCCAGGCAGAGTTTTGATTTATCATTTTCCTAAAAAGGAGCTCTGGTAGCATAGTGTTTACGAATTGGGCTGCTAACCTCAGGGTCAGCAGTTCGAAACTACTAGCTGTTCCGCGGGAGAAAGATGAAACTTTCTGCTCCTGTAAAGGTTCACAGCCTCGGAAGCCCTGGACAGGGTCACTAGGAATCAGAACCGACTCCACAGCACATAACAACAACAACAACAATTTTCCTAAAAACCTTAACATATATTTTTCAAAAGATCTCACTTAGGGTATTATGTGAAAATATGAAATGCCACAGGTTCTCTCGTCATTAGCCTCAAAGGATATGGTCGTACTGAGGGCAAAACTCAGGTTTAAGCCAGAATTATGTCCTCTAGACAGGATGAATTAGCAAATCGAATGATCTCAATAAGAATGGAAAGCAACTTGCTTGCTTGTCTAGCTTCCCAACACCAAAATCAGCAGCTGTTGTTAAGTGCCATCAAGTTGATTCCAACTCATAGAGATCTGATGAACAATGATGACTTTGCCAGTCCTTGAATGGTTAACCCAAGCCCTTTCTCCTCTAAGAAACCTTCTCTTCTAAGAAACCTGCTCCTCTCTAAGACAACTTTTTCTTTAAGAAACACTGTCTAGCCAATACCATCTTCACAACAATGAGCCCATTGTTGCAGCCACGGTGTCAATAACCTATCTCATTAAGGATCTTTGTCCTTTTCTCTGACTCTACCAAGCATAATGTCCTTTTCCAAGGATGGGTACCTCCTAATGACATACCCAATATATGTGAGATGAAGTTTCCCCATCCTCACTTCTAAGGAGTATACTTCTTTTAAGATAGATTTGTTCTTTCTTCTGGCAGCCCCATGTTATATTAAATATTGTTTGCCAACAACATAATTCAAATGCATCCATTTTTCTTCATTCTCCTTTATTCATTGTCCAGCTTTCTTATGCATATGAGAAGAGTCCTGGTTCTATAATGAAAATACCATAGCTAGGGAGTCAGATTTGCCTAATCCTCACAGTGACATCTTTGCTTTTCAACACTTTAAAGAAGCCTTTTGCAGTATAATTGCGCAACGCAACATGTCATTTGATTTCTTCACTGCTGCTTCCATGGGTGATGATAATGGCTCCAAGTCAAGCAAAATCTTTGATAATTTCTATCTTTTCTCCATCTATAATGATGTTGCTTATTGGTCCAGTTGTGGGGAGTTTTGTTTTATGTTGAGATGCGATTGTGGTGCTATGGGATAAAACACTGAACCACAAGGTCAGTTTGAACCTCAAGGTTGGTGGTTCAAACTCCTTGAAAACCCTATACAGGGTCGCTATGAATCAGGACTGACTCAATAGCACTTAACAACAACAACAGATCCATACTGAAGGCTTTGTCTTTATCACGCTCTTCATCATTAAGTGCTTCAAGTCTTCTTCACTTTAAGAAAGCAAGGTTGTGACATGTAATATGGCAAATTGTTAATAAAGCTTTCTCTAATCCTGATGTCATGTTCTTCTTCCTAGAGTCCATCTTATTAAATTATTTTCTCAGTACATAAACTGAATTGCTGCAGTGAAAGGGT